CCACAGAACCCATCAGTGTCTGAACCTCTACAATTAAAGACCGCTTAAATTCAGAATTTTCTCATTAACAGACTATTCCAGATCCCTAAAGAAATCGTTTAATCCTTCAGTTCCAGCACTCAGTCTGTCTGTATTGAACTCTCTAGGTTCTTCTTTACGCAGCACTGTCCTTTTGTTGCTTTGCCAGTATGTATCCTTTGCATCTTGACTTCTGATACTCAGAACTCTTACATTTAAGAAATTGCTTTGCTTGAATTGCATGATTTCCTGGTAAAAAATACCAAATGCTTTTTGCTGTTGAAACTTGGTCTCTTTCTTCACCTACATAAAGATGGAAACCAGCTTTGGACAAGTCAAGATATACTGTAATGAAATGGGAAAGCTGCAGTAATACTATAATTCCCAGTGGCCAGTCAATTATTCTAAACCAATAAGCTTCCCCCAGGCCACATGCCGAACGTTTAACACCACCTAGAATAGAATTTAATCTTTCATAATGCACTTTTTTCTTTCTTATTTAAAAAAAAAAAGAAAAAAAAGGTTTTAGTAGGTGCTGTCAAAGCTTAGCAGCATCCCAGAGATTTTTCCAAATGGGTCACTTGGTACAGTTCCATGCACTGGTCATGGACTCATGGAACTCTTCCCTTCAGGTACCACTGAGCACATACCTGTAACCCCAGAGAATCATTGACTCCTTCAAAAATACAGAAAATAAGAAATTTGTAAAGAAGCCCGCTTGCTTTTATCAAACACCATACTGCTGACTGGCAGGTAGAAACAATCCTCTGTTCAAAAGCTTAATGTTGCAAGATTTAGTTACTTCAAAACCTGATTCCTTGCCTGGGAAGGTGCTGCTGTCAGTCACCTTAAAATGATACTGAGAGCCTCAGAAAAATATATACAGATGTGTTTACTGTGATACTTGAAGAATACTGTAGTCCTCACTTACATGAGATCTTTTTCATTTGAACAGGAACTTAGTGAAAATTATCCTCAGTCTTTGCTGTGTGCCTTCAAATGAACACACAGGGGTAGACTATGCTAGCTAGCAGGTAACTGCTGACTGCAGTTTGTAAAAGACTGGAATAAGAAGGGATAACTGTCCTCCTTTTACATCTGCCATGTCTCTTTATCTCTGGTTTGCATTTCCTCGTTAAAAAATACGTATTTAAACTGACATTTTTCAATATTATTTATTTTCAGCTATTGATCTCATAAATAATTTGTTGCAAGTGAAAATGAGAAAGCGCTACAGTGTGGACAAAACATTAAGTCACCCGTGGTTACAGGTATTGCTACAAATCCATGTTTTTTGTTATGCATTTAGTTTCTAAGTATGTAAAAAATTTCCTCTTTAAGCATAGTAGAATCTAAGCAAATCTGCAGACCTGAAGATGTTTTCAGATCCTGAGGACCTTATCTTCCTTCACCAATTTACCTACAGATTCTCATTAATTTCTGAAGTATTAGATTTCAATACTAAACTCTCTCATATTTTCAGAATACACCACAAAAATTTTTTTATCTTGTTTGTCCACTGAGAACATGATGTATAAAAAAACCCTCTTATAGTCATTTGATGTACATTATCTCGTTGCCTGGAGTCCACCCCAATTCACTTCTTATTAAAACTAATCAATGGGCTTTCACTTCACAGTCATCAGAAGAAATAGTGAAGTTGTATGCTTTCTAGGAAAATTCATTAGCCACCTCCAGTTGATGCTTCCCATTAAAAACTGAAATGTTAGGAATTTTTGAGATGCTAGCAGCCACTGTCTTCTACTCCTCATATGTTAATTTTTTGGTTCTGACAGCAGCCAAATCACTGCAAGTTAAAGACCTAAGCTAGAACCAGTGTAGTGAGCAGCCAGAACCTGTTCCACTGCCCCCAGCCAGGGAGCAGGGTAGGCTGCCTGCGGAGTGGCCCAGGCCTGGGCACTTTGGACCCCTCCCTGGGGATGGGGACAGGCTGAGGCCAGGCTGGGACATCAGCCCATGGGATCTTCCAAAGGATTCACATCTGGGAAAGTAATTGTGGCAAAGGCATAGCACAGGTGAGATGCATAATCCACAATCCCAAAGGAATCTTTATCCAAACTGAAAACTGAGTCCTGCTCCAGTACCTTATGACCTGCTGGTATAGAGGAAAAGGGCTGCAGCCTGCCACCCTGCAACCTGCCTTCCCCAGGGACATTCTTTCTGGGCTTGCTTTTTAACTCCTAGTTTTCTTGTCACTCTCCAGTCTTTTTCCTACTCTTCTCCGTGACAATGATTGCAGAATGTATTTGTCTAAGACTTTGGAGACTTGAGAGGTGATCTGGGCTAAGATCTGCAGCAAGGGTGCTGGCTGTCTGTCATGATGGGACAGAGTCCTTCACCTTTGTACATCCACTTTTGTCACCATGCAGTAGTGAGTGGGGGTAAGCTAAGGTGAGGCAGTACTGCATCAGCTCTAGCACCATGGATGAGTCCGTTTTCCCCAAGAGACCAATAGTGTGGGCAAAGGAAAGATAACAGTGGTGCAAGTAGAGGTGAATTCTGAAAGGATGTGCTTGAAGTAGGCCAAACCATGTGAGATACTGAGAATGAAGGCTTTAATGCATTTACAGTGTGGGGGCTTTCTGGTGCTTTGGCTAGGTGACCAGGGTTATGTCTTAGGTTGAGACAGGGAGAAGGATTAAAAAAGCAAAATGGATTCAGGATTGTGAGCTGAGGCTAGTCTGCATGGGGCTAGGATTGACTTTATTACTACAGCTTCATTTACACTTTGGGTGAGAATGAGAAATTAAATATTAAACTCAAGATATACTTTAGGCAGATGACAGGCTGCAGAGCATGATGGTCTAAACAGTGCGAGAACCAAACCAGTTTCCAGCTTTACTGTTGACTATCACAGATTTCCAAAGTACCTTGATGTTTAGATTAATAAGTCTCTTTGAGCACGACAGTAATTGCCTAAATTTGGAAAAGCAGATCTTTTCTAGCTCAGGCTAAGTTCACATTCCGATAGAGATCAACTGTCTTCACTATTTGATAAAGATCACTAGGATATACATGCATGATATAGATATTTCTTCTTCCTCATTCACCTTGTGACTAGTGTCAGGAATTGTTTTACAACCATGTCTCACTTAGATATTATGGAAATCTGTAAACTATCCATACATTTTGCAAAACTACCAGTAACATCTCCATATATACTATATACACTTAAGACAGAGGTTAATAAAATTATCGAACAATCCTCTAGATTGAGAAAACATATCTCTATAGGCAGATTTCATATTTATTAATTGTAAGACTTTTTTTCATTCTGGACTAATAAGAATGTGTGACCTTTAGATTGCAGAGTTAATAGCACTTTGCATAATCTATAGTAGCGGGGAACATAATTTATTTCAGGAAATTTAAAACTATTGCTGTTACTCTGTTTCAGGACTATCAAACCTGGTTAGATTTAAGAGAACTTGAATGTAAAATGGGGGAACGTTACATCACCCATGAAAGTGATGACTCACGATGGGAACAGTATTCAGGAGAACATGGTTTGCACTATCCAGCACACCTTATCAGTCTACATGCTAACCATAATGAAAACACCAAGCTAGAAGAAACAGAAATGAAAGCCCTCAGTGAGCGTGTCAGCATCCTTTAAGTTGTATCCCCTCTAATCTGTCAAAACACTGTGGAATTAATAAATACATACGGTCAGGTTTAAACGTTTGCCTTGCAGAACTGCCATTATTTTCTGTCAGATGGGAACAAAGCTGTTATGCTGTTACACTGTTGATGTATCTGAGTTGCCAAGACAAATCAACAGAAACATTTTTGTGTGACCAACTGTGTTGTATTTACAAAAGTTCCCAGAAACACTAAACTTGTTATTGTGAATGATTCATGTTGTATTTAATGTATTAAAACCTGTCTCCACGGTGCCTTTGCAAGCTAGTGTTTTTCTTACTTGAGACTCATTTTGGTAAGAGAGAACTTTCCCATGAGGATCTGGGGTTTTTTTTGTGCATCGTTAGTATTGTAAGCAAACTCTTGAAGAGTAGATTATAACTGCTGTTCTGTGAACAACTTCTACTTTGGATAAAAGCTTTATTTAGTGTTGAAAAAATAGAAGAAGCAAAATATAATTAATTGCATAGCACTGTACAGTTTCAAATCAGATCTTGTGTGTATATGTTTATGTGTTTGTGTATGTAGTTACACACACACACATGCACACAGTATAATTTGCTTTTAAGCCTAAATGCCTTAGTAATGTAAACTGCAGCATGTCTGTTGTATTTCTCCTTTTCTTAAAATATTCTTCTCTAATATGAATATTCTCTAAAATGTACATTCAGAAGCTAAATAACTTGTTGACTTTGTGTATGTTTTCAATAAAAATCTTGTTAAAATGGGTTAATTTGGTTAATCTTTCTGTTTAAATTATCCCTGGAATGGCATCAGGAGTAGGTGGAGTAATTTAGGTCAGCTTTAAGAAGCCTGTGTAGAGGTAGGTAGGAAAATGCCACCAGCTAACCTGCATACCTATAAAACATAATTTGTAAGAACCTACTTGGACTGATTTTATATCACAAGTTCAATCAGTTTTGAAACTTACTGGGGCAGTGGGGGAGTTGAGGACACGTTAATGGGGATTTAGTTCTTAGAGAAGTGTGCTGCTTCTGCTTTTCCACTGACTTCCATTGAACTGACAGGGTAATATGGATCTCTCCTGAAAAGTTTAAAGATGCTAATTTTCATTTCTAATTATTACTTAGTATTACTTAATATTAGTTTAACTCTGAGAGGGGTTCAGGCTGCACTGTAAAACATGTTCCAGAATAACTCAGTGACAAGCAAAAATTATGCCACAGGCTGTCTCGGAAAAAAAATCCCAGTTGATATATGGGTTTTGAAGACTGAGGTTAAGAAAGAAAAGATACATGGGATGAAAGGCAGAAGTATGCAATAATAAGACCTAATAACAACTTATGGTAAACCTCTACTGATCAAATCTTGGCTTTATGTTACAATTATCAGCTTCTCAGTAGGTAAATCCATTCTTCCATCGATGAACAGCTTTGTCCAGAAGAAATCTATGCCAGATACATAACATTACCAAAGCCATCAGAATTTTTCTTAGGTATTTTGCACCCCTACTGGTCAGACAGTGTGTAATGTAAAATAAATTAAGAAAAAACTGTTTTATTCGAATGGAAAAGGGGGAAGGAAGTATTTTATAGAAAATTAGAAAGTATTGTGAAAAAATTACTCATCTCCTCCCACCTCTTTCTGATGCTCCTACTGCCAAAAAAGAAATCATTTTCGACATGAGCTGGATGCTGAAGGAAGCTCTCTGATAACACTGGCCTTGTAACATGTTCTGAAACAGTTGTGGTTGAGTAGAGTTCAAATGTGTTGACTATTCTGCCATGCTCTGCTGTCTGTATTTTCAGTTGGGACATTCCTACAAGGCTAAATTTGGCTAATCATTTTTTATTTTTTATTCAGCCTTAATCTTGAATCAGCTGGAAAATAAACATAAAAATGATCTCAGGCTGATTATCAGATTTCTGTCAGTAAAAGTGTATGTGTGTATATATTTAAAAGCAAGTCCACTTAAAGGTGCAGTGGTGGACTCACTGGTAAAGATTATATTCTGTTCTTCAACAGCTCCAGAAGTCAAGCCAAATTAACTGTTTCTTCTAAAGGAAATTGAGGGGAATTACTAGAACCATATAAACTTTGTTCAGATGCTGCTATCATGACTCTTTGTAAGGAGCTGTGACCTCACAGAAGTGCATTAATTTTGTTGCCTCATTCCTCAACATTAACCAGTAACAGATGTTGAGTGCTCAGCTTTCATTCTGACCAATTTAAGTGAGTCAGGATTTTAATAGTGGTTTGATTTAATTTACAATTAGTGTAGCAACACTTGAGCACAGGTAATTTTCAACAACACAGTTAAATTCTCAATAATATCAAATAGCATTCTGGCACTCTGTTCTCAAGCACGGACGCTAGTCAGGAGATTAAAAAAGCAAGCATCTTTGCAACATGCAACAGCATGTCTTAAGAAGCTGGGTGACAAAATTAAAAACAGTGCAACTTTTAATGAAGGAAGGACATTGAGTACTTGCACTAAACCCCATCATCTGCTATTTCTACCATAGCAATGCTTAGAATGCATAAGGGTTTGCTAAGCACAGATCTCTGTTGATAAACATATTTAATTTCATGAAGCACTTCTAATAAAATGTTTGCCAACAGAGCATAGACAAAAGTATAAATAAATTACTACTCTGAGAGACTTTCTGACTAGCCACTAAACATACTTTCAGAGGGACTCTTGTTTTATTAGGAGTGTATTGTACTTTTTTCCTCCCCGTGCCTGTTTTTTTTTGAGCACTGAAGCTTACTTCATCACTTTAGAGAACTTGCTGTGCAAATATTCATTGCTTTTCAAAAAGGAATCTGCCATTAGCCAATATAATAAATTAAAATTTTCCCTGCTGCCGTTCAAAAATGTTGCACTGTGAAATCTGAACTGTTTGCAGCTCAGCCAGACCAATGAAGACAGATGAATTCACTGATTCCTAACTCAAAGCCTAAACGGAAACTTGCGCTTCCAGATACATCGGCATCAAAGTGTACTGAAGCAAATCTGGGATCATATTGTCCTACATGATTTTCCTTTGCTCATATTACTCAGGAAAAAGGAATGGTAGGCTGCTCTGTAGTAATATTTCCATGGACTTTACATTTTCCATTAGGCAAACAGTTCCTGCACATGTGTCATGGAAACAAAACCAGTAGTGGTTACACTGCACATAAGTATTGACCTGAGGATCTATTGATAGTTTTCCTTTTCTCATGTGATTCTGCATATCATCTGCATATCAAGCATGTATACACATAATCATACATCTATAGACATGTTGATTGTGTCAAAACAGCTGGTGAATGCAGACAAGTAGCCAATACATACTTGGAAGCTAGAACTTCTGATTTATGTTGCCATTTTCACATCTACCATCTTTTTTATTCATTCACATACACTTTCTTAATTCAATATCTTGTCCAGGCAGTTTAACTAACTCAGGAAACAAGGTAAGCCAAAAGCATGCACTTAATGCAACTTGTGCAGCTCAGCTGTCACACAGCTGCTGAGCCATGTGTGACCATCTATACACACAATCCTATGGAGGGGAATTCCTGTCAGTGGGTCTTGTTTCCCAGTGTCTCAGATTCTACACCAGACCTCCTTGTTCTCAACAGGATTTCTCCAAAACTAGTTGGATATTTTGCCTTCCCCTTCTCCTTTTTTATTCTACACCTCACTAGTGAAAAGCCTTCCTGAAGTCTCACCTCTCTGGTGATTAGAAATTTGCAAATCCTGGCCTCATGGCAAGGCAATAACCGTCTGGATTTTTTTTTTTTTGTGTCAGCAACAGTCTATTATTCTTTGAGAAGTTAAAGAAAACAGGTTATTTATTTTACATTATTAGATAATAATGTACACCTCTTCTGCACTCCTGAATTTATCCTGGTGTTGTGGTGTCAAAACCAGGACACCTGGACAATGAAGTCACAGAGGTGATGTGGAAATGGGTAATAAACTGAAAAAAAAAACAAATCCTTACTGGAATAATGGGAACAGCTACTTGGCCTCCCATGAAATTAGGGAGAAAATAAAAAAAAAAAAGAAAACTCCAAAGGAAATTTTCAAAATGAACCACTAGGCAAGTTAACCCACATATACTACTTCAGTCCCTAAATCATGGGGAGAAATCAGAGTTGAGTAGCTATGCATTATGGTACAGTATTATTCAGACAGGTCTACTAAAATGTTGGTATCTTGGGAAAGTTCTGCTTCATGCAGATAAACCAGAGCCCAGCCCTTGTAGCAGTTTAGCACCCAAACCTTGCTCAGCTTATCACTTTCACTGAGATAATTTTTTTCTTTGTTTCTCTGAAAAGATAAACTATAATTCATTCTAGCAGCAAAGGAGGCCAGTCACCCAGTCACACACTGCACTGGCCACCTTCTACCTCATGACCAGATCTATGCCATCTGAACCAAAAGTCTCATATTCCTAGGGTTACGGTGCATGTGCCAGATGGAAAGAGCTCAACCAAATCAAATGTAAGTCAGAGGAACTGTATTTGTAGATCAGGTACTTTTCAGTGGTGACAAATTTGACACCTGAATGGGTTACAGAGTTTTGCCTTGCTCTTTGCTTAGTTCATTCCTAGCAGCTGGAGCAAATGAATAATGAAATCAGGCTCTACTGGGTGAGCTAATATTTGTCTGTGCTTCTTCCTGAATCTTTGCTTGCTTGGGTGCAGGACACATTATAAGAAGTGTAAACTGTTTTGCTGCCTCACTAGGCACATCTACAAATCCCATGAAATTGAATGTTTTGATTGGGCATCCAAGCACTAAGAACCTGCACTCTAGGGCATCTACCTCTTCTGTGAGCCTGGAGAACCTTGAGGCCTCAAGCTGCAGAAATCTGCCAGGCAGGGTGCCAACCAGGAGAGCTATAAGGAAAATGGGCATAATGAAAAGCCTTTAAGGCAAATACTGAAATCTGTAAGCACGTGTGCGCTGCCAAAGTTTGACAAAATTTGGCAGATTCTGCTGAAGTACTTCTATTCAGGCAAACTATTTTCCAATATGAGTTTATGATACATTTGCCAACTATAACTTAAATAGTTTCCTATATAACTTCCAAAATTAATAGTGACTTACTGGTGACGACCTCTTACACTTTTAATGGGAACTGATTTTTTAGAAAGTCCTAATAATTACCCTTTGAAAAGCAAATAGTTCAGTCTGGCTCTTCTGTTGACATAAGCACACAAAAACATGAGTTAATTTTGAGCAGTTAGGTCACTAAATTTAATAAGTGGAAAGTGCACTGACATATTCTTAAGAAAAAATAAAATTTGACTTGAGGGACCTGGCCCATATTTACCAAGTAAACAGCTGCAGCAGTTTAAGATGTTACTGCCTCAGCCCCCAGCTGTTTGTTACTGGCCTAAAATAGAACATTTCAGCTTGTCTAGTTGACACTGAAAAGCACAATTTTAATCTTTAAGTTAATTTGCCTGATTGTGAATTAGAACTGTGATGCTCCATTCTGCCAGCCCTACCACTGGGAGACATATGGGAAAAGGGCAGGAGGAAGACTGAGGGCACTGCACTACTGTAGACAAGTATGCCAGAAGTCATGTGTCAGAGTCCTTAACTGCATTTCTCAAGAGGGAATTTTGAGCTTATAAGTCTGAATTCCTGAGGATTTCTGGGTGTCTTGGACTTCCTGATTCCTTATGAAATAGGATTTAAACTCCTCAGTGAGTGATTAAGGACTGCTGCGGTTTCTAACCCTGCCACTTTTGCTCATGGCATTGTATAGCTAACTCCACTCACCACAGTTGATCACTACAGGTGTTAAGAATAGGAATCCTAGTAAAAACAGTAATTAAGGTGATGTTAAAAAGCCATGCTCATGTAAAATATATATATCTACAGATGTTATTCTTTAATCCATTAAAAGGAAGCACGTTCAAATGAATGAGTATTCAAGAATATTCATGGCACAAAGTGGTGAAAAGTTAGAGTAGGTATTTGGCTCAGAGCATCTGACTGGAAAACCTCTAATAGACAAAAGGAGATCTACTAGTAGAAAAAGAATGACTGAAGGCATTCACAGGGAAATAAGGAGCTCTTAATAAGTAGCACATTTTATGTTCTTGGGCTGAACTTGACTTTACCTTAATCTTAATGGGAAGTTTTGTACATCAATGTTCCATCCAGAAAACAGGTCAGTTCAAGATTAACTGCTTTGAGTCTGATAACGGCATTTTCATATTCACTGTGGCCTGAAAACAGCCTCCCTTGTCTAAAAACATTGCATATGTTTATATATGCATATACATTAATAGGAAGTTGGAAGAGTTCCTATGAAACAAGAAAAGCATCGTCAGAAAATGTGTATTTAAAATTGAAATACCCCTTCTCATTCTCAGAACTCAGTAAAACATGAAGGAAAAAATTTACACACTGTTGGTTTTCAAGGTCAATCTTTCCATGAAATTAAGAGAAAGTTATAGGATCCATACTTAGAACCTGGAACAACCACAAAGCAAAACTGCTAGGTATCCAGAATACTATTCCCCTTTTTGAAACTATTGCCATGCACAATTCTTTTAATTTTTCTAAGAATTTATGACTATTAGCCACTTGTCTGTGAGAAAGTAGGCAAATACAACTGTTCATGCTTCACAGCTCGGGGAACACAGGTTTAAATACGTGAATTGGATTGCTCAAAACAAGCTCAAACTAAAAAAAACCTCAGCCACAAATGCACTCTCAAAACAAGAGCACCTTCACAGCCAGACATTATTCTGACTTACATCTTAGGTTTTGTATGGAATTAATGACATTTAGAAAATACAACATTCAAAAATATGCAGGAATGTACAAAATTCTCAGTCAGCCCCTCATTAGGTTTCTATATTTAACTCTATTTGTAGATGGCAAACTGGCAAGGAAAGTAAATGAATGACTTGAGAGCAGAGAGCAGTAATCTGAAATCAAAACCAACAAAAGGCATGCATACTACATAATGCTTTCCTCGCCTTTCCAGGCCAGTTTGGATGCATCCAAAGATTATGCACCCTTAGATGGGATTTTCTGTGGGAGGTAAAGGCTACGCTGTGTGTGTGAAGTGGGAACTGCAATACATTTACAAAGAAACGTTTTTGTCAAACATTTAAAGAACTTGTAAATACACAGACTTCCTGCAGCTACAACCACCGGTGCCTCACAGGTCACAGTGTCTGCATGCTGGCTGCTGGGTAAAGGCACATCCCCTGAAGTCCTCGTAACAAGCACTACCTACCCATGGCAGATCCCTGGGTTTCCAAGCTCATTCAGCACAAACCTCTTAGTACGTTGCTAAGAAAGTACTATGACAAAGTAGGATATAGTTTCATAGTACATGACATAAAACTGCACCTGTGACTCTCCTTTCCCTGTGCAATATGTGGAGCACCTCCCAGTCAATATTGAGAAAACAATGTTGCAGTTCAATGTAATAAAAATGCACATATGAATAGGCTAGTGTGTCACAGATGCATGATAGCACTTAAATCCTTCCTAGTGCTATATTAAAAAAAGCACAGTTGCATGACACAATTTACTCTTCTGATCAAGAGGGTAGAGGTGTCAGCGACTGTACTAGGACTATGATTTCTTCTGCTTCTTATTTCACAGTCTGCCAGTCAAAACTGGCCTTGCCTGTCCCTGGAAGCGTCTTGTAGCTAAGGGTTCAGTACCTGGGGCAGGGAACACCCTCTTCCATCTAAAAGCCTCAAGGCCCTTTGCCCTTGCACAGGCCTTTGCAGGCACCCAGTTACTTTTGCATCTCACAGACCTCTGGATCCAGATTTACTGCAGATTGTTAGTATTGCAGTATTGCAATGCTTTTGCTCGAAAGGAGGCTGAGGAGGCTTCTGGGCAGAAGGAAGAAGATTGCCTAACAGCCCTTCCACTGTTACAACAGCCAGCCTATGAAGATAATACCTGCTTGGCTCTGGGGAAGGAGATAACAGAATAGGAAGGCTAGGTAGTGCAGATTGTACAGAATTAGGATCATAAATACTGCAGTATTTTTCATGCTTAATAAACTCTATCACAGATATTTAAAATGATGGTCTGCATACTCCATGTCTAATTTGTTTTGCACAGACTTAGTCATGTATTCATAGCCTTAAGGGTGATGAAATTATTAATTTATTACTACTAATCCTCTCTCAAGATTTGTACTCTTTTGTTGGCTAAGCTGGTGCTTTTCACCAGTGAAATCTTGTTGGCACAGCCCCTAGAGTAGACCTATTTATATAAGCACAAAAGTCTCTTATAGCTGTAGAGGCTAAATACAGAAATAAGTATACAATTATGATTAGATCCAAACAATAATATCATGTTAACTAAATTCGCTAACTAAATTCACATAAGTAGCACAGCTTCCCTATTCAGACAAAGCCTTACCTTTCCTTTTCAACTTACTTTGCCAAGTAGCTGCTAACATTTTATGATGTGGACATTCATGTGTTTGCCTGAAACCACCAAAGTTATTTCTTTTTAGCTAAGTGGGGAGCTATTACCATCCTAGACTGAACACAAAACAATGGTCAAAGACAAAAACGCCAGGGTACTGTTAATTTTCTGAGCCATCCAGTAACCAGACCTTTTGTTGTATGATTTGCATGATAACTGGGAAACAAGGGATGGTGTGATTTTAGTCCCCTCGCAATATCTTTTTCATACTTTTGCTTTTTATAGTAGATACTTGTTAACAACTTCCGATTTCAAACTCAGTGCAGACTTTATTATAAAACTGAAATATTTAATAAGGAATCATCCTTAGAGAAAAATGAAAATGCTGAAACGCTAGAGGCCATCTTTCAGCACAGGGATGGCTTTTGCTGTCACAGTCCATTCAGGCTTCCGGCTAAGTACTTCTCACACAGTTTGCAGCTCTTCAGACAGAGCAGCAGCTTTGTGCATTTGTGTACCTTGCCACCTACTGGTCATCTTAGATAGCTGCGTAAATAAGCTCCTTGACAGATGCAAGCAAGGCCTGAGGCTTTTCTCTAGATCAGTTAGTGATTGCTCTGATTTTACAAAGCTTTAGGCATATACCAAGTACGTAATACTCAGTCTACTATGTCATTTTTAATGTGAAAAGACAGTAATTCATTATAAGATAGGTACTAAGTCTCCTCCTGTCTGATGATATAATGTCTCAGAGTTTCTACCACTCCTCCTAATTACTCCCTGTTTCCGAACAATAAATTTCTCCTCTGCCTTAGATTTCCATAACAAAGCAATAACTTCTTTTTAAATATAGAAGGAGATGGCCAGCATTTAGGAATTGATATAGTACTTCTGGCAGCTTCTAGTCAGCAGAGTTCACAGTGTGGTGCTGCCAAGCTAGGACTGGCTGCCAGTTCCAGCTACATTTTAAAATAGTGCTGAATGGATAGGGTGCTGAATGCCCCACTTTCTGCTCAAAAGCATTAGTCAATAAGGCAATAGTAAGGTATATTACTCAAATACATTCACTGAAATGATTAGCCCTTTAATTGGTAATTAACCTATCATGCAAAGAGTCTCTGTGAAATAAAAAGGTTAGCTTGCATTCAAAAATCCTTAAATTATTTGAATATAAATGAGATCCTGAAAGTCCTTTTGAACAACTGGGGATGCAAAAAGAAAGGTAAGGTATAAAACCACCTAAAAATTTATGTGAGCCGATTATTTTTCTTAGACTTTTCCTGATTACTTTATACTTCTTGATACTCCTCCTGGTTGGTCCCACCACTCTTGCTTTCAAACTGTTCAGTATCTGGCCCCCAGTATATATTGAAAGCTTTGACATTTTGCTCTGTAATTCACCATTTTGACTGTAATCTCCTCCTAATTCTGTTTTTTTTCAAAGTCTATCTTCAGCTAAGTTTTTTACACAAGCAACTGGATACCTTACCGTATTGAGCAATTTAGTGTGTAGCTCACATCTATCCACCATTAAAGTTCCCCAAATAAATATTCTGCAATTTACATAATTTGACCTTTTCCTGTAGATGTGCAGTTCAATGCTCCATTCCCTCACAAATTGCTGTGTTGTAGTCCATACACTACTTGTAGTAACCTTTTCCTCATTTCCCTTGTTACCATTTCAGTTTGGCTGCACATGAGGTACCGCATGTGAATAGAAATGGTTTCTTCCCCTGGAATATCTTCCTATGTGATTCTTCTGTGAGTTCTCCCAAACCTGGCCATGATTGTGCTCCTTTATGTACTTATTGAATAAGACCTGTTTCCACCAAAGCCCTTCTGGTAAAGGATCTTTATGTTTGCTAGGGCAAACCAGCTGTGGCCAGTTCTGAGGCGGCCAGTTTAGTACTGGTTACCTTTGCATCTCTGTCTTGTGTTTAGCTGCGAAGATTGAGAAGATGCTACATAGCAACAGGATGAGCTCGCAAAAATACAGGTAAATAGCTAGCAAATGAAAATACCAGACTGCTTTCTTCCAGTCAGAGGCAAACTTGGGGAAAGACAGAGGTGTTGGTTGGTTAAACTTTGGAGTATGATAACTTTGTTCAAGTGGAGAACAGAGTAAGTTTGATGCTGGTTTCCAAGCATAGGAATGTGAAGAAAAAGAAATGTTGCATCAAAATGGAATCTGCAGCTGCAAAGTCCTTACACAGAATGTATGCCCTTTCTCACTTGTAAGTGAAGCTTATCCATTCATTTTGGAGTCTATTTATGCTTGCAAAAAGATAGCTGCCCTGTTATCCTACAAGAATTCATGTATCAAATGTAAGTACAGTAAAAGCCAAATTCAGCATCACTAAGAAGTTTACCTATTTACAAGGGTAGTATTACAAGTTAGATTATCTACTGTGTGGTTCTGAGCTTTCTAGTATACAAGCACTTTGCAAACTTACAGAAGCCTGTGAAGGACAGACTGCCATCACTCCTGTTACAAATTCTTTCTGTACATAAAAATCATTGAGATATTTTTTCAAAGTAACAGCAAAGTCTGAGCATAACAGAAGCAGAACAGGAACAGAACTAGAGCTCCAGAAGGAGGTACAAAGGTACTAATGCTTTGTATCAGTGAAATAAATTATTGGGTAAGTTCAGTAAAACATTTTTCTTCAGTATAATATCCAGTAATTAGATCCATTACTTAGACATTTACATGTTCCATTGTAATGTCTTAGTATTTCCAAATATATCAACACTTTATTTCTTAGATCTCCTGCAAAGTGAGCCCTTGCAAGGCTCTGAACATGACATTCAAACATACTAGTCCCATCCATTAAAAATTTGAGGCATATGTCTTCCTGACTTAGGCACAGCACCAGTCTCTTCCAGTGTACCGTTCCCTTGCTTCTTTTTCGAACATTCTTGAACCCACTGTGAACTGCACTATTGCTTCCCCAAAATGTGGTTGGTTAGGATCTGTGTGGATATGCAGACCATCACCTTCTGTTAGTATATCATCTACCTTTATTCAGTTATATATTGTTTGATACTTATGAAAGAAATAAGTGAAAGCAATTTGAGTGGGAAAAAATGTAATCTTTTCAAGAAGCACCAGGTCTATAACCAGCAAGTTGTGTTCTAAAATGCACCACTGTTTAGTAAGGGCTGCCTTTCCTATTTTAATGTGCCTTACTAAATAATAAAACCCAAAATTAGCAGCCAAAACAATCTTTATTGTTTTCCTCTCTTCAGTGTTATGGTATCAAAATAGAAAGTATAAGTATTTTAACAAGTTTGTGGGGCAAAGATTAGCTCAGCAAATTGCTACCAGGAGATGGCACCCTTAACAAAATAATTTCAGCGCCACGTAAAGGTTCCCCTCAACCATCTGTATATCTGAACGCTTTGACAATTCCAGGTGTTGTCTGAGCCCGATCCTGCAAGTCATTTTTCCAGGCAGTCCTCACATGTGAGTGATCTAAGGCATGGCGAAAGAATCCTGCATGCTGTGTGACTGGGGGTGACGCTTTGGTTTGGCAAATCAAAACTTGTGCTGATTTACCAAAGACAGGAAGAGGCTAACAGTTACTGGCCAGTATTTTCCTCCCTGATAAAATTATATATTGCTTTGGGAAAGAGATTGAGATGATACAGGGATATATTTTTATATATATATATATGTCCATATATGTGAGGGGTTGGGGGGGGGGGTGTTTGCTTAGGGGTTTTTGTTTATTTGGTGTTTGGGGGGGGGGTGTTGGGGTTTTCTTGTTATTGTTGTTTGGTTTGGGATTTTTTTTTTTTTTTATATATAGGTTGCAACTGAGTTGGATGAAGAACTGAATGCAAATTCTCAAAGAAGTGCTGATGTGGACTGGCTCGAATTATAGTTGCAAGAGTTGAATGCAAATATTCAAACACTGCTTCCCGGAGACTGAAGGTATGACACTCTTTGTCATTCTTCCAGCACTTCCAAAGAACAGCATGAAGTGATTTTACATTTACAAGCCTGTAGGGAATCCAACTTAAAATTACAAGAACTTAAAGACTCAGGGACCTTACCCTTCCTCTGTCAGAGAACATCTCTGTGGTCAAATCAGTCCCATAGAAGCTGATGGAAAGATTTCAGTTGATGACAATAATGTCAGAATTTCACCTGTTGACTGCAGACAAACTGGAGTTTTACACTCATGCAGCTTGCAGGATCAGATCCCTTGTGTGACAGGAAGCTAAATATTTGCCATGTGTTTCATTTCAGTTTCAAGCACTTCAGGTTTTGAATTCTCTCAGTTAAGTAATTGATGTTTGAATGCCCTGTCCCCTGCTTGGTATTTTAAAATAAACCTTGCTATAGCACAGATTATGAATCAAAACAGCTGCTGTAGCAGAAAATGTACTTAAACGGCAAGATGTCTCTTTGTGAATCATAGTAACTAGTCTCATATATATTGCTTCAGCACCCAGGGAGCTAAATTTCATGTATTTTGGTTTAAAAGATTCATTATATAGATCTGGTGTTTACAGTTTTTTTCGTTTTTTTCTTTTTTTTATGCCTCCCCCATCACTTCCTGCCAAAAAAACAATTGAACAAAAAAATCCCTTGTTACTGATATCTGTTGTCAAACTTGCATTTCTCATATGCCACAGCATATGAGATTATGAATAAATCTTTTGTCTTCTGCAAATGTAAACAGAAACAGTCAAAAATAGATTTTTACAAGCATTGCAGTAAGCTGTTTGCAAGACAGTCAAACTCTGGCATAGAAGTCCCTCTAGGCATGGCTAAAACATCTAGATTAAAATTTTTTGCATTTTCATTGATTTCATGATGAACTTTTAGACAACTGAATAAAGAAAAGAAAAGCAGAGCTCTATTTTTATTTTCTGGTGGGGTTCAGACAGGAGCTGTATATGTATATTATTGTAAACAAGCCAGCGTATGAAAACATGCAAGGGATAGTCATTTAGTCTGCATTAAAAACTGTGATGAAAATGCTGTTGTAAGAAAGATTGCAGACAAATTTCTTGAAGTGTGCTAGTGCTCGCGTAGAATCTAGAAATGAAGTCTTCATTCCTCTGCTAAAACAGAAGACAGAAATCATAGAAGCCATTTCTCAAAAAAAAATGCAAATCCAGTCAAATGGTAAAATATATAGGCACAGTGATTGAAAACAAACACAAGGGACTGAAAGCAAACTAGTGTAGAGATCATCAGGAGACCAGGAGGCAATATGGTGCTATTTTGTTGATCATAGAAACAACCTAACTGAAATAGAAGTATTGTAATGCTATCAAAAATTAAAGAACTGGGGAGAAAAAAACAGCAACTGGAAAAACACATGGAATAGTGAACAAAGATATTCTCACCTTTTTGTTATCTGCAATGTAAACGGAAATAAAAAAATTGTGCATGGATTTGTAACAAATCAGAACTCAGAATACATTTTTTTTTATCCTAACCAAAAGCAGTACACAGAACCATGCATACTGCCTAGCTGCTTGGGGTCATTAATAAATGTTACGGTTTTAATTAGTCTTTCTACTGCAGAATGATTGCTGCAACAGTTTTCCTCATCTTTCCTAACTTCCAGTCTTACTGCTGTAATTTACTGAGGCTTGTGCTATGAGCTTTAGTAAACCCTCTAAGCTAGGTCCTCTAAGAAGAACTAGTAAACCATGTCCTCTAAAAAGCTATATTTAGTGCAAAATATAGCTTACTGCACACATACATGGCAAAAGATAAAATAGAGTCAGAGCTCTCTGGGCATGTGCTGATTTTATCTGCCTTTCTGCTTGCAGTTCAAAATACAGGAAATTTGGCTTAAAGACATTTGAGAAATTGTGTTTTTCTCTTTAATTCTTCTTGCCTGCGACTTTCAGTAGAATTATTCTTTAGTTATCACCTCCACCTAAATGAATGAGGGTGGGTTACAAGTTACACTGAGGTGAAAGCAGGATCAGTTTTATTTCCGTGTCCCTACTGGCCATTCATCTGATTGTCATGAGGGAATCCATCCACTGAATGCCTGAATGTTTGGAGTCCCTGGAACCGATAGGAAGCCTGAGCACTGCCCTTTAACCTTCTGGCCTCTTGGCTTACTCTTAGATTCCCTCACAAGAGCTGAACCTTGCCGTCCAACTTCCTATCCCAGCAGTAAGTCCAAATTCCCATTGTCACTTAAACTCTTAGAATCTCCCTGAAAAGTGAACTTTCTGGTTTACAGTTTAACCCTTCAGGAGCCAAATCTGCGATGTGATCAGACTTCCCAGCAGCAAAAGTTTTGCCCTTGCTTTTTTTTAAGCTAGGGTTTGGTTTCTACTTAATGGAGGAGGCTATGAAACTCTGGAAAAGAGCAAACACGTTTAAAAAGAACAGATACGTTAAATGTAATAATGCCTTTTCTGTATTTTTCCCTATTTGTGGACTTCATGAAAGTTCATCTGGCTTTCTTCTTTCATGGGGAAAGAAGATGCCTTCATTTAGAAGGATGCCTTGTCAGCTGCAAGCTTCTCATTTCAGCTCCTACAATTTGCAGGCAAACTGCTATGAAGATGGCTCTCCACTGCTTATAGCAGTTATAGCCTATAGTTGCAGATGTTGCACCAACAGTCCCTAGAAATAAAAGCTGAAGGGTGAAAGCAGGAAAACATAGATTAGACTTGAAATCAAGGTGGATTTTGCAGTCTCATGAGAATAGCTATAAAGCGTACACTCCAGAAACTATGCACTGACAGAGTCACACATTGATTGTGTTTTTCCAAGGAGAGCATGGGCTGAACACAACATGGCCTCAAAGCGGCAAATAAGTACAACTAGACAAATCTATTTAAACATTGTGTAGCACACTATAAATCTGAAAGCTTGAAACAACTAGGACAAACCTGTTGTAAAGAGACTTCAAGGAAAGTACTGTGTTAGCCTGAGTTAAGAAGGAACAGAAAGGAAGTAGTATGCAGGAAATGCAAGAACAAGGTGACAGATTCTCACTGACAAATCCAGAAAATAAAAGGAGCAAAGGACAAAGATGAGGTCTACAGAGACTTTTTAATTTTTTAATCCAGGAGATATCATAGGCAGTTTAATTTCTTCCCCAGGGTAGACTGTAGTATCCCATCCTAGGTATCTCCCCTATCAAGTCAAAGAACTTTTGATTGAATGTTGTAGAAAGAACTCAGACCAGTGAGGAGTAGGAAGCTGCTTTGTATAAGACCTATGGAATAACTGTTCTGCAAACTTCTGGCAGTAACTTCCCTCTGATATAATTTTTCTGTCCTTATGTTCCAGTTTCAGTGTTGATTAGAAGAGGGAGTGAAAAAGGGAATCATTCCACATGGTGGAATAAAGCTGCAACTCTGCTGACCCTGATCCTCAGCTCCTACAAAGAAATGCAGCTATGTCCTCAAACATTCCTCAGTCTGACAGCACTTGCATCCAAGAACTTCAGTGTTGTGAAAAAAACAGCCAAACAAACAAAGAAAACATTTATTGGTGTACATTAGACTACTTTTCAGTTAGTTCTTAGTCTTTATAATCATCACCAAAACCTGATTTAGTGACCAATCTAGCAGCCAGGAAAGGTTCACCAACAGTAGAGCAAGTTGGAGCTGAAAGCCATTGAGGCATTTCAGTGATTCCAAGCTTAACATAGACACACTTTGAGGCACATTTCACTGTACTCCAGACATTTACCAACAAGCCTAGTAAGCTTTCTTTCTCTACTCACTTTTAGTAAGTTGTATCAGTGGTCCTTCTTGCATATGTTTTCATGTAAATTTTAACTTAAATGGCAAGGCTTTAGCTCCATCTGACTATGTAGGGTTACAAAAAACCCTATGGCTTTAAATAGAAAATAACAGAATGAAGATAATGTTAGAAGGCTTTCCTCTCTCCTTTCTACCCAGTTCACTGGGAGAAGCTGATGACTATACTAAAAAGCAGATATCCAGCATCTAGGCTCTGGAATCACAGGTCAAATCTTAGCAGGATTCACTCAGCTCTTCAGCCTTCCAAAGTACCTAATGGAGCTAAGCATGGAATATCAGGATGAAACCTTGAAATATAAGCACCTACCAGCACTAAGTTAATATAACATGTAAGAGTTCGGCCATAGGTAGGCTCTGTGTTGGTAGTCCTGTGCAAAATTTCCCCTCCAATTTTCACAGCCTTAATAAAAGCTGTAGGAGTCCCTGCTTGAATGTTGGTTTTGGAAGCTGTAAATAAAACTGATCAAATATTTTCCATCCAAACAATTGTGTATGCAGAATTATGTTTTCAAATATTAAGTGTCCCTTCCAGGAAAAACAAAACACAATGAAACAAAACAAAACAGAAAAAACCCCACCAACCAAATAAACAAAAACCCCAAACAAACAAGCAAACAAACAAAACCCCCTAACCAGAAGCTAACATACTCAGGTTTCTCAGACAGATAAAAAAGTTAGTTTTCTTCCACAAGAAAAAGACAGTTGAGGCTTATAAACCCTACAGTTTATAAACACTCTGTTTTCAGGTTGGCTTGGTTTTTGTATGATTGTTCTAATCATAGTAGTTTTCTTCAAAGTGACAAGATTAAGAAGAACATAATTTTTTATAGCTATTTGAAATGGGGATGACATACTTTTCTAGCCAGTGTCTTGGTGGACAACAAAACGTCTATTTTTCCCAGAGTTTACTTGTAGGTTTAAATTAGATATGAGAAAAATAAAACCATAATTATATAATATATAATATAATGCCATATAATGCCATATAAAAATATTTGATGCCATCATGTCCAAGTTACTAGAATTTTGGCCTCTCATATACAGTTCAGATACACTGAGATCTGAACTGCTTCCGGAGAAATGACACATTCTTGTTCTTACAAGTTTGCACAGCTGCAATTTCTTTTCATTCAAAGTACAAAGACAAGCATAGAAAATGAAAGTCAAGCGGCTGCG